GGGAAAGAGAAGGCGTGGTGGATGGCCGAAGTATGTATAAGTTCCGAAAAAGCTCACCCCTCCCAATCATCAAGCCCTGCATAGGGTCCTGAATAAGGCAAGCATCATGAGTGAAAAACACAGTATAAGGATGATGACGGGTTAGGGAACTTATACTGAGAAGGTTAAAACGAAAAGACGGTATGTAAAGAACCGAATGTAGCACCAGGAATTTAGAGAGAGTAATAGTGCCGGATTGAAAGACAGACAATAGGGAACCATTTGGGAGAGTGACAGATACAGGAGGGATAGTGCGAATATCAGAGAACAACCTCAAATCACAGCAAACATGAGAACTCGCTCCGGTGTCTATAATCCAGAGGTTAGAGGTATGTATATCAGGGTCAAGGAGAGATAAAAAATGAGGAGAAAAGGAAATGGGAGATTTACCTGGTGTAGGGTTTGTGGTGGATTCAGTAACAGAAACCGAGTCTGAAATTTTGGAGGAAGAACCTAGAAGTTTAAGCTGAGACTGAAAGGTGTCGAACAAGGCTTGGGCCTGGGCCATGGTGCTTAGTGATGCGCCAGACGTCATACTGGGCTTGGACTGAAGGCCTGACTCAGAAACAACCAGATTAACAGGGTTTGACAGGTTGGAGTCCATACCTGACCTAGGTGTCGGCAGGAGAGGCGGCTGAGATGAGCCAAATGATCGAGAAGATGGCGGATACCCATGCAGTTTGTAGCAGCGATGAATTGTATGTCCTTTCAAGCCACAATGTGCACATACGGGACGAGGTTTCCCTTGAGATAGAGGGGTAAATCTGCTCCTGGGAAAACGTGATGCCGAGGCTTGAAAAACGACAGGGTCAGTGGAGGAAGAACGAACCTGACGTTGATGTTCTTCCTGAGACACCAGATTGTAAACCTTGGAAATACTCGGAAGAGGCTCCAGCATGAGAATCTGGCGTCGAGCAGGATGATATGATTCGTTGAGCTTCATCAGAAACTGGACCACCTTACGGCGTTCAACCAGTTCGACGAACTGGGCATTTGCGTGACACGAGCAACCGCCGCAAGAGCAAATCGGGTATGGCTCATAATTTTTCAGCTCTTCCCAAAGAGTGTTCAGCTTCGTATAAAACGTGTTGAGATCTAAAGCTCCCTGTTGGAGGGACTCTATCTTCTGCTCCACATTGAAGATTTTCGAAACGTTCTTCTGTTTGTATTGGGTCTCCAGAGTATGCCAAATAACGTCTGCCTCATCCAGGTAGAGGATCAGACTCCCGATTTCAGAAGAAACAGAGTTAGCAAGCCATGTGCTTACTAAGGCATTACAACGCAACCAAGCTCCATAGTCGGAGTGGGTTTCAGGGGGCTTTGGAATCGTACCAAAAATGAAACCCAGTTTGTTTTTCGTCATCAAAGCCTTGATAACAGAGCGGGACCAAAGATTATAGTTGGATTCACCTTGCAATTTCTCAGAAACAAGGATGAAACTGGAGGAATCCGCAGCATGAAGAAAAAGAGGGTTGGCATACGGATCGAGATTTTGAACAACGGAGGTTTGTAAAAGAGAGGGGGAAGAAGGATCTGGGTTTTGAAGAACAGAGGGTGGGTGATTTGCAGATGGAGTGTCGGAGGTAGAAGAGGTGTGAGAAGGGGTTTGATCAGCCATAGCTTAGAAGAAAAAGAGGCTTGAGAGAGAAGGAGAAAAAAGGAAACGAAGGAAGATAAAAAAAAATTAGGTTTGCTCTGATACCATTTTGGTATTGCTGGAAAAAGAGGAACTTGGAAAAGCGATGGAAAAGCTCTCGAAGAAGAAGAAGTTTTTCCTTGTTGTATATTTCTCTCTCATGTAAAGTGTTTCTTACATCCTGTATATATACAACTCAAATAAAGGAATAAAAATTAATATTTGTACAATGATCCTTCTATACATCTAAAAAGGTGTTGTAGAGTAGCCTGAGGAGTTGCCCTTGCACCAACGGAATTTTCCTGTGCAGAAAACATGTCGATGCACCTAGCCACAACAGAATTGTCAGAATCATCAAGAACCTGTAAAGAGGTTGTCGGGTAAAACTCCCCCGCAAGATGGAGAATACAAGTTTTGTATTCCCATCTTGAAGAGGAGGTACCGGAATTGATCTGAAGCCAATGGCTTGGTAAGGATGTCAGCCACTTGATCATGAGATCGAACATGAAGAACTTTCAGCAAACCTGTGCCAATGTGTTCCCTGATAAAGTGACAGTCAAGTTGAACATGTTTCGTCCTTTCATGCAGAATGGGATTGCTGGCAAGATGGATAGCCGATTGGTTATCACAGTAAATATTATAAGGCTGAGAACAGGGAATGGACAGGTCTTTAAGCAGATTAGCGAGCCAAATAATCTCACAGGATGTCTGAGCTAAGGCACGATATTCCGATTCAGCACTGCTGCGAGAAACTGTAGGTTGTTTCTTCGATTTCCAGGAAATCATGGAGCTTCCGAGAAATATGCAATAGCCAGTGACAGATCGACGGGTATCAGGGCATGATGCCCAATCAGCGTCTGAGTATGCCTTAAGAGTAAGAGAAGAGTCTGCTGAGTACAAAAGGCCCTGAGAGGGAGAAGATTTCAGGTACCTTAAAACTCTGAAGGCAGCATGGAGATGAGTAGAGCAGGGGCGTGACATGTATTGGCTCAGTTTCTGAACTGAAAAACAAATATCCGGTCTCGTGACAGAGAGATAAATAAGCTTTCCAACTAATTGTCGATAGAAGGAAGCATCAGATAATGGTTCACCAGAATCCCGAGCCAATTTATCACGAGTATCCAAAGGAATTAAAACAGGTTTGGCACCCAATAATCCATACTCTTCCAGCAGCTCTAAGGCGTATTTCCGCTGACATAAGTGAATGCCTTTGGATGATCTTGAGATTTCAATTCCCAGAAAATATCTTGGACATCCAAGATCCTTAATCTGAAAAAGAGTTTGAAGTGAAGCCTTTGTAGAAGAAATCATTTCAGCATCATTCCCTGCCAATAAAAGATCATCCACATACACTAACACAACTGTAATTGAGGCACCAACATTCTTTCGAAAAACAGATGTATCAGCAGTAGATTGGTGAAACCCAGCATCAATCAGAGTGCGTGAAAGCTTGATGTTCCACTGTCTAGAGGCTTGTTTAAGCCCATAAATTGACTTCCGAAGACGACAGACCGAAGTAGGAGATACAGTCTCCCCCGTAAGCAAGGAGTATCCAGGGGGAAGAGTCATATAGATCTCTTCCGATAGGTCTCCATTGAGAAAAGCATTAGAGACATCCAACTGAGCAAGAAGCCATTTCTGTGAGGCAGCTAAGGCAAGAACCATTCGAACAGAAGTAAGTTTTGCCACTGGGCTAAAGGTATCCAAATAATCTAATCCTTCAACTTGAGTATACCCCTTTGCTACTAACCGTGCCTTATGGCGCTCAACTGATCCATCAGCATGATACTTGGTTTTGTAAACCCATTTGCAACCCACTGTAGTCTTACCATCAGGAAGAGAACATAATTCCCAGGTCTTGGTACGACACAGTGCCTCAAGCTCACTCTTCATGGCACTTCTCCAAATTTCAGACTTGGAAGCTTGGGTATAAGACTTTGGTTCAAGGGAGGTGAGAATAGATAAGGCAAAAGGTTTGTAAGATGAAGTGAGGTTTGAGTATGTTAAGTATTGTGATAAAGGGTATAAGGTCTGGGATGAATCAGGTGGGGGCTGTCATGTCGGATAAGGTAGCAATGATAATCTGAAAGATAGGCAGGAGGGTTTCTTGTTCGCTGAGATTTGCGAGTGTTCTCATCATATTCAACTATCTGTAAAGTTGGAGGAGTAAAAAAGGAAGATGACTTGGGAGATTTTGAAACTGTGGACTCAGAAGAGGGAGAGGAAAGAGAGGATTCAGTTGAAGGAACTGTAATGGAAGACTCTAAAGGAAAATCAGAAATGGGTGTCTGGGGTGAAACTTCAGGAGGAGAAGGAAGAGAACCTGAAGTAGCTGTTGATGGACCAACAGATGGAGAAGAAGGAGTATCGAAGAAATGATAAGGAGATGGTTGAGGTGGGAAAAACTCCAAAGTATTGGGAGACAGAGGAGATTTTTTGAAGGGAAACTTGTGTTCATGGAATGTAACATTCCTAGACACTGTAATAACATTTGTCTCTAAATTTAGGACTTTGTAACCCTTGATACCTGGGGGGTAACCAATAAAAATGGAAGGAGATGCCCGTGGAGAGAATTTATGACGGTCTTTGATAAGAGTGGAGGCAAAACATAAACAACCAAAGGTTCTCATGTGTTTGTAAGTGGGTTTAGTGTTTGTAAGGATCTCGAATGGTGTCTTATGATTAAGAACCGGACTTGGTAGTCGGTTGATAATGTAAACAGCGGTTTTAACACACTCACCCCAATAAGATAATGGTATATTCGATTGAAAAAGAAGGGCTCGAGAAACATTAAGAATATGTTGGTGTTTCCTTTCCACAACCGAATTTTGTTCCGGTGTGTAAGGACAAGAAAAGTAATGAGTAATGCCCTTTTTGGAGAGTAAAGATTTGAAAGAAAGTTCAGGTGCATTGTCGGATCGAATGCCTTTAACTTTAACATCATATTGTGTTTCGACATGACTTAGAAAATCTGGAAATGCTGTTAAAACATCACTTTTGGAACAGAGGAGATATAACCAAGTTGTGCGAGAACAGTCATCAACAATGGTTAAAAAATAACGATGACCATCAACGGTGGGTGTATGAAAGGGCCCCCAAGTATCAATATGTAATAAGTCAAAAGGTTTTAGAGACAAATGTCGACCAACAGGAAAACAAGATCGTCTTTGCTTAGCTAAAGGACATATACTGCAATCTGTATTAACAGATGTTGAAGGAACAAAAGACAGAGATGAAGAGGTGCTTGATGCTTGCACTTTGTAGCTAGAGGGGTGTCCAAGACGTTGATGCCAGAGATCAACACTAGAGATTGAAAAAGCTGGAAATGAAGGCAGAGCTAAGGCACGATATTCCGATTCAGCACTGCTGCGAGAAACTGTAGGTTGTTTCTTCGATTTCCAGGAAATCATGGAGCTTCCGAGAAATATGCAATAGCCAGTGACAGATCGACGGGTATCAGGGCATGATGCCCAATCAGCGTCTGAGTATGCCTTAAGAGTAAGAGAAGAGTCTGCTGAGTACAAAAGGCCCTGAGAGGGAGAAGATTTCAGGTACCTTAAAACTCTGAAGGCAGCATGGAGATGAGTAGAGCAGGGGCGTGACATGTATTGGCTCAGTTTCTGAACTGAAAAACAAATATCCGGTCTCGTGACAGAGAGATAAATAAGCTTTCCAACTAATTGTCGATAGAAGGAAGCATCAGATAATGGTTCACCAGAATCCCGAGCCAATTTATCACGAGTATCCAAAGGAATTAAAACAGGTTTGGCACCCAATAATCCATACTCTTCCAGCAGCTCTAAGGCGTATTTCCGCTGACATAAGTGAATGCCTTTGGATGATCTTGAGATTTCAATTCCCAGAAAATATCTTGGACATCCAAGATCCTTAATCTGAAAAAGAGTTTGAAGTGAAGCCTTTGTAGAAGAAATCATTTCAGCATCATTCCCTGCCAATAAAAGATCATCCACATACACTAACACAACTGTAATTGAGGCACCAACATTCTTTCGAAAAACAGATGTATCAGCAGTAGATTGGTGAAACCCAGCATCAATCAGAGTGCGTGAAAGCTTGATGTTCCACTGTCTAGAGGCTTGTTTAAGCCCATAAATTGACTTCCGAAGACGACAGACCGAAGTAGGAGATACAGTCTCCCCCGTAAGCAAGGAGTATCCAGGGGGAAGAGTCATATAGATCTCTTCCGATAGGTCTCCATTGAGAAAAGCATTAGAGACATCCAACTGAGCAAGAAGCCATTTCTGTGAGGCAGCTAAGGCAAGAACCATTCGAACAGAAGTAAGTTTTGCCACTGGGCTAAAGGTATCCAAATAATCTAATCCTTCAACTTGAGTATACCCCTTTGCTACTAACCGTGCCTTATGGCGCTCAACTGATCCATCAGCATGATACTTGGTTTTGTAAACCCATTTGCAACCCACTGTAGTCTTACCATCAGGAAGAGAACATAATTCCCAGGTCTTGGTACGACACAGTGCCTCAAGCTCACTCTTCATGGCACTTCTCCAAATTTCAGACTTGGAAGCTTGGGTATAAGACTTTGGTTCAAGGGAGGTGAGAATAGATAAGGCAAAAGGTTTGTAAGATGAAGTGAGGTTTGAGTATGTTAAGTATTGTGATAAAGGGTATAAGGTCTGGGATGAATCAGGTGGGGGCTGTCATGTCGGATAAGGTAGCAATGATAATCTGAAAGATAGGCAGGAGGGTTTCTTGTTCGCTGAGATTTGCGAGTGTTCTCATCATATTCAACTATCTGTAAAGTTGGAGGAGTAAAAAAGGAAGATGACTTGGGAGATTTTGAAACTGTGGACTCAGAAGAGGGAGAGGAAAGAGAGGATTCAGTTGAAGGAACTGTAATGGAAGACTCTAAAGGAAAATCAGAAATGGGTGTCTGGGGTGAAACTTCAGGAGGAGAAGGAAGAGAACCTGAAGTAGCTGTTGATGGACCAACAGATGGAGAAGAAGGAGTATCGAAGAA